CGGGGGGGGGGGATTTTTAAATCATTGAAAGTACACCAGAACGCCTGTATATTTTCTGTCATTTCTAACAGGTTAAGAGTTCAGGGGAAGAATCCCCCACCCCTTTCCACTTGCAGAGCAAACGCTGAAGAAGAGGTCACCTCCTCTCCAGCGTTCGGTCTGTTAAAGGGACCATGAAACGAATTTTGGGTTAGGATGAATGATTTTAAATTGGGACTTTACTAATCGCATATCGTTTAGTTGGCAAAAAGAAAGAGGCTAGAAAGTCAAAAGCCAGCTTTCTGGTACGAGCATTTGAAAATATAGCGGACTATTTTGTACTTTCTTGCCTTCGAAATCTCTCCGCCTTTTCACTATGATACATCCGCGGTTCCAAAAGCGCGTCACCGGCGCCAAACTGACGTCAGCAGAGCCCAGCTCACGCATTGGACACGAGAACTGCGTCACTCGGACGTATGCGCTCGTCAACAATCAATCCGTCGACGAATATTTGGATTCGCGTTCGTGGCCAATGAGTGCCCTGACGGAACTTATTGTCACTGGGGAATGACAAGTTCTATGGTGTGCATAAAAAGCACGGTGGAAGCTAGGAGTCATCGCACCGGTGCCGAAGGAATGTCACGACCACGTGATTTCACAATTCGCATTTGAGTTGAGGATTAAAGCCAAGGAGGAAGAAGTAGGAAAATCGTTTCATGACCGCTTTAAGGTGGAAAGGATGGAGTGCTTTGTGAGAGGAGCTTATCCTGTTTTTCTTGACCTGCGTATTCTGTTAAGGTTCCAGGACATTATACACCTTTTTCGTTTACCCTTGTCCCCAATCACCTGGTAGGCACATTCGGTATAGGCGAAGGAAAAATAATAAAACATTTCATTCTACAAATAGGAAGAAAATAGAGGTAAGTAAAAAAAGAGACTGGGTAACGGTTACGTTTATATCCTGAATGCCTTCTGTTGGCGTGGCGACGGCAAAAACAACGCTTTTGCCCATACCAAAAGTGACGACATTAAAGATGGCGGCGCACTTGTAGCAAAGGATTCATGGATTCGTTTTCGCAACTTTCAGCGATGGTGGTAGCGAGATGTGAGAATCGCGCTCTTCGATACTGGATAATTGACTCAAATATGAAGGTATTGCATACACCTTCCAGGAGAGCAAGCATAAAGAAAGGTTCTTCTAGTGCTCATATTTTGCGAAATTAGAATGGACCTTTTCCGAGAAGCGTTCTGCGCACGCGCGAGCGCCCGATGCCAAGCGGTGGAAGTCGGCACGAAAAATCGAGGAAATTCGGAATGAGGCTGTAGATCGACGAGTAGAACGCGTTGTGTTACACAAAAAAAGAAAGTGGACGGAAAGAAAAACACGACGTTTGGGTGGACGCTACGGACTTCCCTCTTTAAAGTCGCGTTGGGCACGCGACGCAGCTCAGAGAGCGAAGCAACTGGCAGCGTAGCTCCCATTATCGATTGGTAGCGCAGGTAGGTCACTTCCTCGATTTTTAGTTCGTGCAGCCACCGCCTGGTGCCGTCGGTATTTGGAAAAGGTCCATTACTTACGCGTCCCAGACCCAATTCGTCGTACTGGTGTTCTATGGCGATTATCCAGATGACAGCCATTTCGATAGAATCTAGTGCGCCCCCTCTAAGCCGTGAAGATTACGAGTTCCGCATGCAAGTTCGTCTGGTCTTTGAGCACCTCGTGCGCTTGTTTACCTAACCAACCCCCCCCCCCTCCCCCCCCCCCCCCCTTGCCTTTGTTTTCCCTCGATCTTCACCAAAGACGGCACGCGCTTGCTGACTGCCTTTTGATTGTGCGCTTTCTGCACGCTGGATGGATGGATAAAGGATGCTAATGGCTGTATACTTTATAACCGGCAAAAACTTGCCCCAACTAGCCTAAAAAAAATGACCGCATCTCCACATGGTGAATGATGTTTTGGGGCGAAGCTCTGGTGGTGCTGATGATACTGATTTTATTGTTCATAGGTGGTGCTGATAATGCTGATTTTTTTTTTTTATTGCTCATAGGTAGTGCTGAGTTCCGGGTTGCGTTTCAACTTCATTATTACTGCTTTATGGTCGGTGAAATGCAGAGCCAGTGGTTCTTCTAGTGGATCAGCTTGGATCCGCTAGAAGTCGTGGGAGCGCATCTCCACCGCTTAAGTCAACGGTCCATGTCCGAAAGAGAATGTGTGGTATGGATCGTGGTTATATACGCAGTTGAGCATTTGACCGCAGCGCCCTCTCGTCTATAAACTTTGAGCCAATGCATGCAAAGTTTAACGCGATTATATACGCATTTGACCGCAGCGTCCTCTCCTGTATACGCGTTGAGCGGCTACATGCAACGTTTCATTCATGACAGAAACCCCAGCTCTTGAGTTACTACCATATCTCAGAGCCCCCTACTCGTCCCGCAGTCGTGGCCCCATAGGGGTCCCTCCGCACAGGTTCGAATCCTGTCGACTGCGCAACAGATGGGATGGCAATCAATGTGGGCACGGACGCCGGACAAGGCTAGACCCTAAGGAGCTTCGCCCCTGAAAAAGACGCATTGTTTATGTTTCTTGTTTATCCGCGTGCCCCTCCATTCGTTCCAAAGATCCAAAGATTTCGTGCTGGAACACTTGCTCGCCGTATAGTAAGTAGTCTTAGCAATGTATAAACAGATCGTTTTATTGAAGCCATTTATTTTATTTACTAGTTCATTTGGTAAACATTAAATTACCAAGGGATGATTACAAAACAAAAACCAGAAAGAACTGTTTTCACATTTTTTCTAACGTTTCGCACCTTGTTTGTAAGCAGCGACTAAGTACTATTTTAGCCACGGAGAAATGTGCGATATGTGTACGTAAAAATATTTAATTAAACCAAAGTTATCACAGTACAAAACAAAAGCAGTGCAGTGGTTTGATGGCCAATCATCCCTTTTGCCGAGACAGATAAAAGCGGAAAAGAATGCCAATTAAAGGAAATATCTGCGGTAAGCTATGCAGCAAATGTTGTTCAGCTTTTAGACAATATTATTTATATTCCTCTAGTTCAGGTTGTCAGTGACGGACTAATATTCGAAGAACATAATATGGCGAATTGCTAGGCAATAGTAATCCATGCGTGAACGTTCTATAGTCGGTTGCAAGCTAAGAAAAAACCGGAAATGCCTCTCAGAGGAAAATGTAATCCTACGCCAAGAAACGCCAACCAATCGCTTTCATGACGTCACGATTCCGTAGACCAATCGCGATCCTTTTGAAAAAAAAAAAAAAAAAAGCTCAACATGGCTGCTGGCCTTAGCAACGCGATGCTAGTTTCTCGTGACAATTATTCTGCTTTTTTGCACCGTGTTTTACGTGCCCGAGGTTACGCCACGAAATCTTAATGGTATCGGCTTGCGTTTGCAGCAGTTTTTGCGCGACAATGTGGGAATCCAGCGACGCTATCGCCAACGAAAATTTCGAAGCGGGCGCGAGGCTTAGCACTGCTGAGAGGTATGTTAGACGGTATGTTAGACAGTATCTTGGACAGAAAATGAATTGGGAAGACGGCACATTGAACATGACTATCTTTCTTTACTAAAGAGCTATTTCGTTGACAAACACGTATTCTAACTTATTTAAATGTCCTGAATGAATTAAATAAATATTGTAGTAGTTTAAGACACGTTTCCTGGAGGAAGAAAAAGCAACGTTGCTAGTGAACTACTTTCTCGACGGCGGAGGCACTTCAGATGGGCGCAATGCGCTTGTGGGTGGAGCTAAAAGATTGTTCTCAGGCTGCATCCGACTATAGCATCACAAACGTTTAGCGATACTCTGAGCTTCCCACGCCAGACGCCTACGTTCATGGCACTCTTCATTAGATAGTTTAACGCGTATTATGTGTATGCTTGCTAGTTGTTCCTAGAATGAAGCGACACTACCTGTAATCGGACTGATAAACCTGGCGATCTTCCGGAGCCTTGCATACTCTCGAGCTACTCTTCCTACGAGAGCATTAGCGGTCGAGCTTCTCCTCGCCTCGCCTTCTTCTCTCCTCGCCTACCTCACTCCTCTTCGCCTGCCCCTGTGGTCACATGACCTCCCCGTTAACTAATCAGCGTCAAGCTCAAGCATATCCCCCCTCCTCTCCCACCTGTCAACCAATCAGTGTCGAGCGCGTCGCGGTCACGCTATTATAAAGGCTTCACTCTCGGGCTTCACGAAATGCCGAAAAATATCTAGCCAAAGAACGTTTCGAGTTAATAAAAACAGAAAGCTTAATCATGATGGTTAAAGCTCGACACTGATGGTTAAAGCCCGAGACTGATGGTTAAAGCACGAGATATGATAGTTAAAGCCCGGGAAAAAATATGAAACTTTACACTCTCCCTCACCACAGTCTCAGGTTTTAAACGTTATGATTAAATAGCACCATCTCGCTTGCGCACTCACTGTCTTTTCATAGAAAGCTAATAATACAAAGTTATCAAAATAAAATATAATTCAGTGACAGCTCCCCAGGGTTATCATAACCTACAGTGCGTGAACAACCTCCAGCAATATGAACGACCCATCAGACGCAGGGCCGTTTCTGGCGGTTGTTCTAGATCTGTTTTGGCGAGGCCTATATTGCTTGGGGTGAGAAAATAAATGTACATTTGTTCCATTCTCTCTCTTAGCATGGAGGGCCTCTTGCAAAAGCGTGCTTAGCACCGCCGCGTAAACCGCCTCGGCGAATGGGTCTTTCATCTTGTCAAAGACTGTACATACCATTTATTTATTTATATTATTATTAGTTTTACTTTTAAAATACACTGCCAGCCGTGAGGCCAAAGCAGGTTAGTAGGCACGTTAGAATGACAAGCACACCTAAGTATCAATAAAACCACACACTTTTTCACCTACTCGGTTCACAATTAGACCGTGATTAATGCATTAATTGATTAACATGTTTCTATCTATTAATTTCACACCAAGTATAACTAGTATCATGGAAACGCTACTACTGCTGCCGCTCACCCTGAAGAAGGCGGGGTGGCTGAAGAGTCTCCGTGCCAGGCGCCTCGCGTAGATGCCGAAGAGACACCAGCCCAGCACGATGAAGCCGCACACCGAGCGCTGCAGAGAGTCCCGCGTGTCCTGGCGCCAGAAGATGGCCCGAACCTCGCAGCACACGTGGAGCACGCACAGTCCCAGCCCGGAGGCCAGGGTCAGCACTGTACCAGGACGGTAAAACCGCGGTCACGGCGCTAATACGTCGTACAAAAGAAAGTCTGCAGATGCTGTAAGAGGCGTGTTTCTACCTTGTAGGACGTCCCTGTCACGTATGGTTCACACAAAGACCGTCTGCCGACATTTTCAAAGCATATAAACGTACCAGGCAAACATGCTTGGAACATGCTTTTAAGTCTGTCTGCAAACACTTCCGTCAAGTCTGCAGCGAATAACGCGTCTTTTGTGTGATGTATGAGTGGCGGGACTCCAGTAAATGGTGCACACCAGTGACTCTAGTGCACAACTTGCTCTCTAAGTGGTATTCGCACGAGGGATGCTCCTCGGGAGGGATGTGCGTGACGTCGGTGATCGGCGAAAACAGCGGGATTCCCTCCCCGACTCTAGCATCCTCGAAAACGGCGGGGAGCCGAGAGGGATGGCAAAGTTACCAGAAGCACTTAGCGGTTGCACTCTCGACAACGGGGATCGGTGAGCGCTGACGAGAGTAAAAAAATGGAGGCCTATACATGAGACGGCGATACGCGATTATGGCGGCAGCGCTGTTAGATGAAGAAGGCGACGAACTGCTTCCCGCTAAGAGAAAGGTGCTTCTCGAATGGGTGGATACAACACAAAGGACGTGGAATAAAAAAACAGTTGTATACGAGGAGCGGCCCGAGGAGCTTGAAGACGGCAGGTGGCGAAAGCGACCGGTTCAGAGCAGTCACTTCCGGATTGCATTTTGCGACTTGTCGCCGAGTCGCCCGACGGCTGAACCAATCAGTGGCGCCTCGGAAGGGCACGTAAGTGCGCCTCGCGTTTGTTTGTATTCGACACGCCAAACTTCTGCGGAAGAAGCAACCAACATGTTCGTTCAACACCTCGGTTCGCGGTAGCGGCCGTGGATAGAGAGTAACAGAGGTCTCTGCGGTGGCTCTGATCAGCGGTATTAAAGATTAACTTTTGCTTTAGAAACCGAGTACCCCCTTTCGAACGAGTGCCCGGAAAGGTTCTCGGCCTGGCAGCAAAGTCGTGGAACTTCTTGACAGGTCTGTACTCCGACGCGGTAGCTCGAGCGAGTGCACGCCGATGCAGCGATTGTACTTCGTTGTACGCTTCCGAAAGACCCAGGTCAACATAACCAGTTGTTTTGATATGGCAACGACGACGCGTGTGTAGTTGTGAGACAACGAAACTAGAAAAGCAGCGAAACGCGAACCCGAGTTGTGGCGGGGTGCACTGAATCGACGGCAGCCCCCGAGGGCTTACGGAAAGCGACTCGCCGGTAGCGACTCGCCGATTGCCCGCAGCGTAAACGTCGGCGGTATACCTTGTCGCATGTCGCTAGTCACTCTCGCAACTGTCGCTACTCGCCTGTATGAACGCGCCTTTAGGCGATCCCGCGGCTACCGCCAGTATCTCGCTCAGCAAAATCAGTAAAGTTGCCAGACACGCGAATAAAATACCGCCAATTGCAAATACAGCCCACGATAAGGCCGAAGTGCAGCCCGAGCAAAAGCTCCCCCATCCTCCCCCCCCCCCCCTCCCCCCCCCCCCTGAGATGTCTACGTCAGCGCGACCCTGCGCAAAAGCGTGACGTTGTAATCACGTGATGCGCATCTCGGGGAATAAAGGGAAGGATATCTCCCCCATGTGAATATCCCTTTAGGAATGTGGACATTCTCTGAGGTACCGACGTGGACACAGCTCTCCATAATACACGAGCAGTGGTCATTCAGCACTACTAGAGTTACACGCTCTCGAACCGCTCATTCACACGGGAAGCGGATCCGCTTCCAGTGTGAATGAGCGGTAAGAGAGAGAGAGCGACAGAAACTTAGGAATCAATCTTTGTTATTTTTCTTGGAGATTGATTGTTTTTCTTGTTTCATATCATATCGCCACATGGCGATTGTTAGGCGAGAAGCAGACGGACACCACAGCGCTTGCCGACGTTATAGCTAGGGTGTGTACTTTCCGGTGTTTATTTGTGAGAAAAATCGGCGGATGTTTTTCGGTGTTTATTTATTTTCAAAACACCGGTGTATTTCGGTGGAACGTCTCACGACGAGGCTAAAATCGGTGAATATCGGTGAAAAAAAAGCGATTGATCACAGACAGAGAGTTTCAATTTTATTCACATAGTTCATACACTTCTTCTCTAGGAAGCAACTATTTCTAACACTTCGTTATTATAGTAGATGTAAGCATACTTTCATGCTTGCATCTACACGCAAGGAACGTGCTGCCGTCATGGCAGCACGTTCCTTGTGGTTCGCAACCCGCAATTATGAAAACGCACGCTCCTGTACGACACGGACGTTGGCAGTGTCTTCTAGGAACCACAGCAACCTCTGAATACATGGCTTGCACCGACATCACTTGGCCAGACACAATGAGGAAAAGGCAGGTGAGAGCCTAGCCTCCACTGCGTTAATTTTTCCACAAAAGGGGGCCATGGGAGACACAATAGGGGAAAGGAGTATGAGAGCTTAGCTTCCACTGCGTTCACTCGACGCTTTTGACCCCCAGAATGGAGGGCGGACTGACGCCACCTGCAAGCCATGTATAAACACTGGAAGAATGCAGGATCCACGAGATAACACGTTTGACGAACCTCTACGGGGAAAGGGTTTCGCTAGGTCGGAAACTAGCAACGACCGGTGTTTTTCGGTTTTTACCAGGGCGAAAATATCCAACCACCGGTGTTTTTCGGTTTTAACCGATTTTATATTTTCGTCACCGACGGATGTTTATCGGTGTCTTTCGGTTAAAACCGGAAAATACACACCCTAGTTATAGCCAGCTGTGCCCACGACAGTGCATCCGTGTGTGTTTGAAACTGTACCTTCTGGAAGCCTCCGAGTGGAATGGTTCGCGAAGGTACTTCTTGGGGACTTTAACAAAATGCTTGTAAAGGAAGGTCCAAAGCAAAGCCGGATTGCGGGTCCAGAAACCGAGAAACCGGCCCGCAAATTGTCGCCCGAAATAATGCAAAAAACAAAACCTGTTTTTTTTTTTTTTTATATAAGATTTACAGGTTGCATTTGGAGGAATGTGTGCGGAACCGTGTGGGCCAGCTAAAGAGACAGCCAGCGCGGCGGCGACGGACGGGTTGACCGGGGAAGGGAAAAACGCACACTAGTCTCCACGGGCAGGAGCAGGATGAAAAGGCACCCTTTGTGAGATTTGAGAAAGACACCCTTCGAGAAGGGTACCCCACCCCGCTCCCGCAAAACGTTCGTGAGGAGGGTGGTCCGCCTTCCCCGAATCGGCTACTGCGAAAATCCACCGATCTCCGGCCTCGTCCGTTTGCGGCTGAGAAGAATGATATTCTAGGGAGTTTTTGAAGATCGTTTCTTCCGTTCCTCAACGCTCTCCGCAACCCACTACGAGATCCGGGCTCTGCAGTCAAGGCCAGCGGCTAATATCCGCACGTCTTCGTTGCGGAGAACATAGCGCAATAGGGAAAACGGTCTACGAAAACTTCCTATTGAACTTTCAACCGAAATGCGAAACCCTGAAACCGTCACCGTTGAGGTCATTCCTCTTAAAGAGCGGCTTAGACCGCTGTTTAAGGCCGGTCCAAACCAGCCCGTAAGACGTCTCCCGGAAGAGAAGTGACGTGCCTGTGGCGTGAACGGTAACATTTTCGGGGTCCCGCAATTCGGGCTGAAAATTCAACATGTTAATCTGAGCCGCACCCGGATGAGGCCGGAGAACATTAAATTTTTGCAGCAGCCAATCAGGGGAAGGCGGTACTTTTTTCCCTTTTTGGTATGCTACTCAGTATCGCGAAATTGAGAACAGTTATTGTGAAATGGGCAAGTGGAAATGGTGACAAAATCAAGATTCAAGTATACCCACGCTTTTCAGTGCCGAGACGTCAGTGGCTACGTTTACATGGGTGCGACCGCAGCTCATTGAATCAAAAAGTGACCAATTACGCCCCCCCCCCCCCCCCCTCCTCCTTTCTTTTCCTTTTCTACTCAATCATAGGCAGCAAATCTCAATCAGATTCGCATCCATGCAATCTCAGCCAGTGGAAGGCATGCTGGCTCGAGCGGGCTGTCTAGAAATGGAATATTCCGAGCACCTGTTTGGTGCTGCCGCGCGGGTGCTGAAGCGAGCATCCAAAGCATTCATTTGACATCATGAGACTGCTTGTAATCAGTTGGAAACAAAGTTCACAGTCCTTAACATAAAAACTAAAAATAAACGTCTGAATAGTTTTTACAGCATAATACCTCGTTCCCGGAAATAAACGAAAGTAAATAAATGACAGCGTGTCGCGTATAACCCGCAATAAGCACACTAGATATGTGGAACAGCAAAATTGTTTTAAGGATTGTTTCAAGTCTTCCTTTTTCTAGAAAACAGCGCGAAAATGGAACAAGCTCCCAGCACATGTCGTGACTGCTAAAAGTTGGGATGAATTTAGTTCACTCATCGGACATTTCTGCCAACAGTACCTAGATTGATTCACCGCTGCATTGTACTTTTGTTGATGTGTGTAGTTTGTGCGCATGATTCCATGTTATTGTGTAATACCACTCCTATCTTGGTCCTGTATAGGACCGATAGTATTCCAAATAAATAAATAAATAAACAAACAAAAGAGTGAACCCCTACCTTCCACTGACGTTAATTTTTCATTGTTTCCCGTATAGACTTTCACCTTGAAAAACACGGCGAGGACCAAAAATTGTAAATTCAATAACATCGCAAGAATTATTTTGGCCCAATATTTGGATTACTTTTTCAGCTATGTTTACTGGTGTGTATAGTATATTTTCAGGCAACTCGGGGACTATAAGAAAATTGCCAGAGTACCCCTTTAAAGGGGCAGTGAAACGATTTTAACGTTGAACAAATTTTCAGCTTGTATTTCTTGTAATGTTTGCCAAGGCACAGTGAATAAAAAAAGATAAAAAAAACGCACCACCTTTTCCAGAAAAATTACTATTCTGCTGCAAAAGATAAAAACAAAATAATTGTCGATCTGCAGTCGCCTGTGCGGGTTACGGGAACTACGGTGGTGCGTCGCAGGGGGACATGCGGAAGTCAACAAAACCTATCCTCCTCCACTGCTATACTCGCTGTCAACACCCTGGCAAAACGTCTTTTGTGCCGATCGCTCGCCGTGACCCCCGGCGACGCTAATTCTTGAAAAGTCGACAATCGCGGAGGAAGTGGCTGGGAGATCTGAAGACAGAGCCCAATGAGAAACCAGGTCGTACCCCAAAGACGTCACTCGGAAGATGGCGTGACAGTTGAGGGCGCCCCTTGACCTTCGATTTATATAATTTCTTTTTAAATAAAATCTAGCGCGCGCCAGAAAAATGGTTTTCTGAACTTCGGTTCACAGGTGACACAGATTAATTCCCACAGTTAATTGGCCAACGCCCTAAAATCGTTGCACCGCCTCTTCAAGAATCATTCGCTTTTGCTGTATTAAATCCCTCGAAGTCGCTCGAAAATCCCACAAGAGGGGGTATTACTGTCCACTACTCCGCGTTTTTCTCTTTAGCACTGCCGGCTAACACAACACACAACCCCTTTACCCGCCGCCCGTTGCCGGTAGCTTAGCTGCGTCGTACACCACACAATTTCGAGCCGCAACGGACTCTGGGAGTTATAAGAAAAAGCCGTTTACAACTCCCTGTAACGCCGAATTGTAGCACAGCTCTTGAGGAGGAGGAGGGAAGGGTACCGAGGGGAGGGTATACGCCTCCTCCTCCTCCCCTCATTCTTCAATGTCCTCCGGGGGGGTCACGTGACCTGGGGGGTCACGTGACTTTGGGGGGGAGGAGGTCACGTGACCTCAGGGGGGGGGGGCTCGCGCGGTGCATTATGGGACATTTCCCATAATGCACCGCGCGGTTACGCTGACGCCGACGCCACTCAAGCCGGAAACGGGCGCATAAGAGCTGCGCTCTAAAACGGGTTCCGGCTCCCGGACCAGTTTTGCGGTTTGGATTGGACCACCCTTTACTCCACAAGCTTTTTCTGTATACGCGTCCCGGTAGACTCCAAGCATAACCAAGTGTAGAACAATCTCCTCTTACAAAGACCTCTACTCCCTCCCTGGAGAGGAGGGGAGTACACTCTTAACCTGTCGTCGACAGTAATGAACAGGCAACCATCGGAGACACGCCTGGCAGGCATTTCGAGCTCACCTTGAAGCACGAGACCCAGAGAAGGCAGGTAGCGACAGCGAGCCACCGCGGGCAGGGGCACCCTCAGGCAGCGCGCTATGGCCAGCCATAGCCAGCTGGGCAGCTGGGCAGACTGTTGTGTCGAGAAGGTACCGGCCTTTGCCAACAGGTACTGCTGCTCTTGTCCTTCCCAGTCCGAGTAGATGATCGAAGTGGCCGACCCGCGCCGCTCGCCTCTGCAGCAAACGCATAATGACGCTTAAAAAAAAAAAAGAATAAAAAGAACCGCGAATACATTGAGGATTTGAGGGAAAAGCACACAAACACAGCGCTGACTGACAACTAAAGATTTTACTCCTGCACGGAACAGCAAGTAATTAAGAGACAGGAAAAGATGGAAACGGAAATGCAACATCAACTAGCACTCCACGCCTTGTTGGTCAGTGGCGAACGTTTGCAGGCATCCGCGTCGAACAAGCCTTCGTCAGATTGCGGTTACAGCTGTCTCACTAGGATTTGAACCCGCCCTGAGTATCTGCAGGCCGACACAATGTCTTGGAGTCATAGAGGCGGCTTAATGAGAATTGTACTTATGGGCCCAGTTAAACAGTGGAGTTTTACTATTAACTATGTTGTGTACGGCCTTAATATTTGAGGAAAGGGGGGGGGGGGCTTACGTCAAGATGTGATTGCGTCTTAAGACTGCAGCATTAAGTGACGCAACGCTCGGTAGTCCTGGAAGCTCACAGTCGCATCTAGATGTAAGCCTCCCGCAACATACGAGGGGGACACAAAAGTAACCAGAATGAATTTCTAGAGGGCGGGCCATTCCTAGCACCAGCTTCCACTGCTAGCAGCACCTAGTGGCATCCCTCACGAGTCAGTTTGCCGGCGGCGTAGTCTGCTGCAGTTATAGCGGCACATTGTGAACATTTTCCCCCAAGCGCTCCAAAAGCACTAATCGTTTTTTGCAATGTCTGATTTGAAGGACCTTCCACATCCACAAAACGTCCTTTCCTGACTTTTTTCATAGAAGCGAACAGAATCCAATTTACACAGGGCAAGGTCCAGTGAAAGGGCAGGGGGGAAAAGTGATGTTGAGCCATTTTTGTTCAAAAATTGTTTCACTGACACTGCAGCGTGTACTGGGGCACTGGAAACCGCCACAAATCGGGGCTATTCTGCTTCACTGAGCTGCGCAAGCGTCGCAAAAAGTCTCATGTAAAGCATGTGATCAACAGTTTCGCCAGGAGGAACCAGCTCGGAGTGAACAATATTTGAACTTGCTCGATGCTTTCACCAGTTGAAGCGGCTAAGGGTCGCCCTGAACGAGGTTGATCGTCGACCAACAATTCACCGGCCTTGAAGCCAGAAAACCAGCCGTAGACTAGCGATTTCTTCATAGCATCTTCTCTGTAAGCTGTCCGAAGCATTACAAGAGTTTCCTCCGCCGTTCTCTCTAAAGGCAAAACATAATTTCACGGACGCACACTTTTCCTTCAAATCAGACATTGCAAAAAAATTAGGAATGATTTTGAAGCACTTGGGGAAAAGAAATACATAACAAGTCGCTAGAACTTTACGGGGAGGGGAGGGGGGGGGGGGAGGAAGGAGGTGTAAATGAGACGACGCCGGCCAGCAAACTGACTCGTAAGGGGTGCCGCTAAGAGCTGTAACGGCGGAAGCTGCAATGGGAAGGAGCTGAGCTAGTTGGTTGTACATACTTAGATTGTGAAAACCAGCTGAACTTACAGAAAAGGGTGAGGAGAGAAAGGAGAAAAGGCATCCGATCGCTGGACTACCAACTATTTATTAACCCTCGGCTTCTTCTTCCACTGGTCTGGTGGCTGTCCTTTTTACGTCTTCTTCTTTTTCCTTTTTCTTGATCTTCCTCTATCTTCATGGGCATTTTTGTCTTGCAGGAACTTCTTTTCACTTGTTTGTAGGGCAATGGGTGGTGAACTAACGCAGTTGTCTTTTTGTTGATCTATGGCTAAGGCCTCAAGTAGTTCTCGGGCGAACCGATCTTTGTGGTGGGCTAGGATGCTTACCGTTTCAAGCTTAGCCTCACACATGCATTCTCTACAATGAGCTGCTAGATGTCCAGGTGCAGCCAGGTTTCTTAAGTTTGCAGCATGTTCTCGTGTGCGGTCATTTATACAACGTCCCGTTTGCCCGATGTAGCTACGTCCACATGACAATGGTATGTTGTAAACTACTCCTTTGTCGCATGGAACGTATTCTGTCTTGTGTTTGGTGGTACACCTGCCTGTATTGTTAACCTGGGCTAGGTTGACCTTCCTGCACATTGCGTGTGCCTTGTTGGGTGCCGAGCATATGATATTTATGCCGTGTCTGCTTGCGATCTTTTTTAACCTGTGAGTTACCCCATGTATGTATGGGACCACCGCAAAAGGTGAACGGGAGATCTGCTTCGGTGGATCAAGGTCGGTGCGTTGACAAGTTCTTTTTATGTTGCGGCAAATCTTTTCACAAATGGAGGCCAGGAAGGGTTTCGGATATCCGGCCTCTTGAAGCCTGGACATTTGGGTTTCAACGCACCGACACTTGTCGACGCACCGACCTTGATCCACCGAAGCAGATCTCCCGTTCACCTTTTGCGGTGGTCCCATACATACATGGGGTAACTCACAGGTTAAAAAAGATCGCAAGCAGACACGGCATAAATATCATATGCTCGGCCCCCAACAAGGCACACGCAATGTGCAGGAAGGTCAACCTAGCCCAGGTTAACAATACAGGCAGGTGTACCACCAAACACAAGACAGAATACGTTCCATGCGACAAAGGAGTAGTTTACAACATACCATTGTCATGTGGACGTAGCTACATCGGGCAAACGGGACGTTGTATAAATGACCGCACACGAGAACATGCCGCAAACTTAAGAAACCTGGCTGCACCTGGACATCTAGCAGCTCATTGTAGAGAATGCATGTGTGAGGCTAAGCTTGAAACGGTAAGCATCCTAGCTCACCACAAAGATCGGTTCGCCCGAGAACTACTTGAGGCCTTAGCCATAGATCAACAAAAAGACAACTGCGTTAGTTCACCACCCATTGCCCTACAAACAAGTGAAAAGAAGTTCCTGCAAGACAAAAATGCCCATGAAGATAGAGTAAGATCAAGAAAAAAGAAAAAGAAGATGTGAAAAGGACAGCCACCAGACCAGTAGAAGAAGAAGCCGAGGGTTAATAAATAGTTGGTATAGTCGGATGCAACCTAAGAACCATCTTTTAGCTCCACCCACAAGCGCATTGCGCCCATCTGAAGTGCCTCCGCCGTCGAGAAAGTAGTTCGCTAGCAACGTTGCTTTTTCTTCCTCCAGGAAACGTGTCTTAAACTACTACAATATTTATTTAATTCATTCAAGACATTTAAATAAGTTAGAATACGTTTTTGTGAACGAAATAGCTGTTTAGTAAAGAAAGAAAGTCACGTCCAATGTACCGTCTTCCCAATTCATTTTCTGTCCAACATACTGTCTAACATACCGTCTAACATACCTCTCAGCAGTGCTAAGCCTCGCGCCCGCTTCGAAATTTTCGTTGGCGATAGCGTCGCTGGATTCTCACGTTGTCGCGCAAAAACTGCTGCAAACGCAAGCCGATACCATTAAGATTTCGTGGCGTAACCTCGGGCACGTAAAACACAGTGCAAAAAAGCAGAATAATTGTCACGAGAAACTAGCGTCGCGTTGCTAAGGCCAGCAGCCATGTTGAGCTTTTTTTTTCTTCAAAAGGATCGCGATTGGTCCACGGAATCGTGACCTCATGAAAACGATTGGCTGGCGTTTCTCGGCGTAGGATTACATTTTCCTCTGAGAGGCATTTCCGGTTTTTTCTTAGCTTGCAACCGACTATAGTCCAGCGATCGGATGCCTTTTCTCCTTTCTCTCCTCACCCTTTTCTGTAAGTTCAGCTGGATTTCACAATCTAAGGCGGAAGCTGGTATACTACGAATGGACCACTCTCCAGAAATTCATTCCGGTTACTTTTATAATACGAACTCAGCTCTGTTACGTCACGGCGCGGTGGTGGCGCGTCGGGCGCAATTCCGGTCTGGGGCTGCGGGCGGAAGTCACCATGCGGGACGTGCATTCCTCTGTTATTTCGAAAGAAACTGGAGGAAAACCTGCCTCCTCGTCAAAACGCCGCGACTGGGGCTGTATCAAAAGAGTCGGGAAAGGTTTGAGGGTCAGTTTTCACGTTTTAGAGCGCAGCTCTTAGGGGCCCGTTCCCGGCTTGAGCGGCGTCGGCGTCGGCGTCGGCGTCGCCGTCGGCGTAACCGCAACCCTCGTAACCCCCGTGAGGGTTACGAGGGTTACGAAGGTTAATCTCATGAGGGTTACCCTCACGAAGACCACGAGGGCCACGAGGGTTACTTACCCTCGTAACCGTCGTGAGGGTTACGAGGGTAAGTAACCCTCGTGAGGGTAACCCTCGTGAAGGTAACCCTTTTGAGGGTAACTAACCCTCGTAACCCTCGTGAGGGTTACGAGGGTAAGTAACCCTCGTGAGGGTAACCCTCGTGAAGGTAACCCTTTTGAGGGTTACGAGGGTAAGTAACCCTCGTGGCCCTAGTTACCCTCAAAAGGGTTACCTTCACGAGGGTTACCCTCACGAGGGTCACGAGAGTTATGAGAGTTACCCTCACCAGGGTCACGAGAGTTACCCTCACGAGGGTCACGAGAGTTGCCCTCAAGGGGTTACTAGGGTTACCCTCACGAGGGTCACGATGGTTACCCAGGTCACGTGACCTCGGGGGGGTCACGTGACCTGGGGATACCCCCCGAGGTCACGTGACCCCCCGTTGACGTCATAGCCACTGATGACGTCATCAGTGACGTCACTGATGACGTCACCGGCATCCGCATTGTCATCGTCAGCATCACTGATGACGTCATCAGTGACGTCACTGATGACGTCACCGGCATCCGCATCGTCATCATCATCACTGATGGCGTCATTAGTGACGTCACTGATGACGTCATCGGCATCGTCACGTGGCCCCAGGTCACGTGACCCCGCCGACGTCACGTGACACCCCAAGGTCACGTGACTCCCACAAGGTCACGTGACCCCCCGCCCCCCGAGGTCACTTGACCCACCCCCCCAGTACCCTTCCCTCCTCCTCCTCAAGAGCTGCGCTCTAATTCGGCGTTACAGGGAGTTGTAAACGGCTTTCATTTTTTCTTGCCTGCTCGGTTAGTCCGAGAACGTTGATAGGTGCAGTGAAAAATAAAAACCAGACGCTGTCCGACCACGATTGCTTCCTTGTGCGGGAAGCACTTTGGGTTGAATTTACGGATACTAGTGGTCGTCAGATTTATTTGTTTTGTTCCAACATGAACGCGGGGAAACCGCCAAATTGTACAGGCCACCTGTGGGCTACGTTCAGTGCATCAAGGTTCAAACGGCTGTCTGATCGTTCGAACTGTCGTCTGCTCTTTCAAACTTGTCGTCTGCTTTTAGAGCGCAGCTCTTAGGCGCCCGTTTCCGGCTTGAGCGGCGTCGCCGTTGGCGTAACCACACGGTGCATTATGGGACGCGTGACGTCACTTGTGATGTCACCGATGACGACATCAGTGACGATGACGATGACGCCATCGTGATGACGTCATCAGTGATGCCACGTGTGATGCCATCAGTGACGATGACGTCATCACGATTACTTCACGTGACGTCACTGATGACGTCACACGTGTCGTCACTGGTGACGTCATCACGATGCCGATGACGTGACCCCCCATGAGGTCACGTGACCCCCGTGAGGTCACGTGACCCCGTGAAGTCACGTGATCCCCGTGAGGTCACGAATGTGACGCGACGTCACGAGGGTTACGTGACCTCAAGGTCACGCCGACGGCGACGACGACGGCGACGGCGACGCCGCTCAGAGGGAGGACTAGCAGGCAGGATGACAAGGTGAAGAGGAGGGAGGAGGGGTATACTCTCCCCTCAGTACCCTTCCCTCCTCCTCAAGAGCTGCGCTCTAATTCGGCGTTACGGCTTTAATTTTTTTTTGTCGTCTGCTCGTTCAAACGACAGCGGCCCGTAAACCAAACGTTGACCCGGTAATTGCGATAAAAGTAAGTGCAGGCCTCAAAAGCCTTTTAAGTTTGAAATGGGTTGGGGTAAGGCTCGGTGTGAACAGTAGGTACAAGATCTTGATCATTGTTACCAGTGGCCATCACCGACTTGTTATGCCTGATTCACTTGGTCCGATTACGCTTGCCATTTTCAGTATCGACGTCGACCATCTCAGCTACGGTTCACGCTTTTGCAGCCCGAGCAACGTCGCGACTGAAAATTGCGAGCGAAATCTCATCATGCAAGTCAGGCTTTAGCACCCATTCTGCGGCGTCCACGTGAAATGAATCGCCTTATGTCATCACTTTATTCAAGTGAAGTTGTGCGGTGTAACGAGCCTCGTTAATTTCGCCGAGGCCGCTAAAGTAATTAGACATAGCCGGGAAGACGTGAAACCAACAATTCCATAGCGAAAAAGAGCACAGGGACTTACACCGACGTCGACAACATCGCCTTTCAATGGTTTGTTTATAGGCGACAACAAGCTTCTTGCCACACTCCATCACGCATGCGATAGAGTGTGGTCGCTCCGGTTTGTTTGTGTTATGGGCGTCGGTGGCGTTCTCGGGCATTCCGGTTTGTTTGAGAACATGAGTTGGCTCCGTCTCACTAAAACCGTGCAGTAGAGACAAAGCTATAAGGTAGAGAATGATTCCCGATCTGCTTGAGAGGAGGGAAAGGAGGAGCGGGGGAATCCCATCCCTTCTCTCCCGTTCCTCCTTTACCTCCTCTTGAACAGGATGGCATACGCTCTCTCCCGTGTAGTTTTGGCTGTACTGCACAGTTTTATTGAGACGAAAAATAGAAGAAGACAATGCCTGTGCCTTTTGACGTTCACCTGGAAAATCGGTTAAATGTTTCATCGACGTTTTAGGCAGCAGTGTTAAGGTGGCCGTTGCTCATTCTTTTTATGAAGCGGAAGTTCCCTGCGATGTCAAAGACTGGAGCACCGCCCGGTGGCGTATGCAAAGAAAAGGGCTATTGAAGGAATGTCTTTATAAATCAACCTGTCACCGGTGTCACTGAGTATTTGGATCGGCTCACCACGAATGAAGAGATCAAGTAGAAACTCCCCATTTCACGAATCGAAATGGCAACCATACGGGAAACTTGGCGCTACTTTTCCAGGACTCAGTGACCTTAGCCGTGGCCAAACGGGGCTCTAGAGAAAGTGAGAAAGTCGTGCTGTGGCCCCTCAAAGACTTACAGTGCAGATTGCAGCGACAAGTGGGCTGACCCCAAATTCTGCGGCTCCGCTCCATTCAGAAGCACTTTGTCCATCCTCCGAAACGTCACTGTAACCAAAAAAAAAGACGAAAAAAAAACTTTTTGTTGAATTTTTTTTTTAATGTGTACACTCAAAAATGTTACACCTTTAAGGGTGTAAATCAGCTTGTCCCAGGGCTAACACCCAGGCTGTTATAAGAACACGCTTAGACTCTGGTGGACACACACAAACGCACACACGCCCGCCCGCATGCACACGGACACGCACTCGCACACAATAGAATGCTGGCAATCTTAGCGTCTCTAGAGATAGTTTTTTTTAGGAGCTACAAGTTTAGAAACCAGAATCACCGTATGCAGTTCTCACATGCACAGAAACTGGTTGCACCACCGCCTTATATGATCGACAATTCAAAGACACGCATTTGCAGGGGACTGTCTCGACAAACCTTTTGCATTCAGTCCACAAACCTTTTGAAAGTTTTATCTCACAAGTCTGGGGGTATGATAGAAAATGTATCCTGCAGTTATTTACTCGCACAATGAACACATTCGCGTAATGAACGCACCCCCAAGTCGGCTCTCAAAATTTCGACTTTTTTTTTTTACTCGCGTAATAAACGCACCCCAACTCGGACGTCAAAATTTTGACCCCCTCCCCCCACGCGCGCTAAATGAACGCACTTTTCTATCGTGGTGCAGCGAGGTCGCGAATGCATGGGCAGCGTGGGCGAACAAAACGCCTTGCAAAAGGCGTTAAAAAATTCGCAAAGATCCAACTGAAGCAAGGAAAAAAACATGGAGAGGAGCTTTTTTTTTTTGCACAGCGCAGTCTGGACTTTGGGTTCGCGCCGCCGCGCGCAAGGAGGTAAGAAAGAGAAGCGGAGAAGCACTCTATGCGAACGAAATAGCTTGCGAAAGGCGGCAAAAAGAAAAAAAACTAAGGAACTAAAAGAAAACAAAAACAAAAAAAAAAAGCTTTTCTTTCTTTTTTTTGCTCGGCGCAGTTTGGTTTGGTTCGGGGAGTCGCGCGCCGCTTGTAAGGAGATAAGAAAGAGGAGCGGAGAAGCCCTTGCCTAAGCAAACGAAACAGCTTGCGAAAGGCGGCAAAGAGAAAAAAAAACAAAAAAAAACACGGAACTGAGAAAAAAAAAAAAAAAAAAGAAGAGCTTTTTTTTTTTTTTTTTTTGCACAGCGCAGTTTGGTTACGGGGGGGGGGGGGGGAACGTGCTTCGCGCGCCGCACGCAAGGAGATAAGAAAGATAAGCGGAGAGCCCTTGCCTAAGCAAACAAAACAGCTTGCGAAACGCGCGCAAAAAAAATAAAAAACCCAAGGAACTAAGAAAAAAAGAAAACAAAGCTTTTTTAAATTTTTTTTTGCACAGCTTAGTTAGGTTACGGGGTCGGGCGCCGCGCGCGAAGAGATAAGAAGTTCGATTTTTCAGGATAAAAGGTCCGTCCATTATGCGACTAAATACGGGCGCAAAAATTTTACTTCGCGTAATGAACGCCCCCCCCCCCCAACTTTGCATCGATTTTACGGGAAAAAAGTGCGTTCATTCTGCGAGTAAATACAGTATACAATGCCCTTGTACGATCCCGTTTTGACTACGATGCGGTAGTGTATTGATCTGCTCGGTCATCTGCCCTTAAAGGGATACTACAACGAAATAGACCCTTTCCGAAATTCAGTCTGGCCACTTTGATTACTATCATCATCAGTTGAACGTCATCTGTGCCATACCAATGGCGGCCTTCTAGTAACTGATAAAAGAAGACGTTGAAGATGCCCCTAGGCGGATCTTGCGAGGCCTGTACATTCGGGGGGTCAGTACGACGCGACGTAGGAATAGAACGCAAGAGCTACGTAAGCGTTTGTTTTTAATAACTCAGATTCAGTCAATCTGTGTGCGGCTCCCAATCTGCTTTAAAGCGTTTTGGTGTATAAAATTTTCTCGAGGAATCTGAGTGGGTTGGCGCGCTTTGTTCTGAAAGCAGGTTCTTGGTCACCGTCGAACTGAAAGCGATCGAGAAAGGACTCACTGAACAATTCCTCGCGTGCTGTTTACTTGCGAAAGTGACGGTGCCGATACATGTTCATTTCCGCCATTGATGTGGCGAAACCTAAACTGCTTTACAAACCACCAGATGGCACTGAATTTCGGAAAAGGGTCTATTTCGGCGCTCATTTTTTGGTCCATATGTGTTCAAAGGAGCAGCATCACATCGAAAATACCAATATCTTGTTTAAAAAAGTCCCGAAAAGGAATTTTAAAACTAATTAAACGATTAGCAAAGAGCACCTGGTGGATGTCGCTAACGCCTCGCTTGTAATGCCCGTCTAGGAACCTTGACAGCTAGTGACGAAGGTTGTCTCGCCTCCGGCCACGACGAGAGAAGTGGGTCCGGAGGAACTCCTCTCTTCCCGGGAATGCATGTTGTGTGTCGCAGAAGTCGCTATTGTCTCCCTACAAGATTATAGAAGATTAACCCGTCACTCAAAATTCGTACAAAAGCAGCCGCTTCGGTGGCTGGAACGACTAGGCCATCCTCTCGACGTCAGCCTCGCCGTAGCTTTGCTTGTTCTGAGACGACCTACGTCACGATTGCGTTGGATGTCACGTGGTCTCCGCTGGGCCTTCTCCGAGCGCTTGCCAGGGTGGGCCGTTTATAACGAAAAATACAGCCACCAGGCTCAAAATACAAACGTGCGATTGTCATTTACGGATATTGTGGATCATATTCAACCTATTTTTGAACACGACGGGAATATTTCAAATTTCGTTGAAGTATCCCTTTAAGACCGCCCTTTCTGTCTCCTCTTGAACTCAGTCGTTTGAGCAAGGCGTTCGGGCGTGCAGAGTGGGTCGTTTGCGAGTATGGTCCGTACTACCATCACTGTGTCACTGTGGGTCCCTGCTGATGCGGCGAGAAAGTGAGGGAGAGGAGGAGACGAGAGCGCGCGGGGTCATCAGAACGACGCGCACTGATTCGAATGATTAGTGTGTAGATTTAAAGCTAGCGGCATTTTTCTCCACTGCACTCGTCGAATGCGAGAGCCAAACGCCGGACGCCTACGTTCCGCGTTCTATAGCGTTCGACGAGTGCAGTGGAGACAAAGGCTGCATTTGTCTCCACTGCGCTTGTCGAACGTCTTGACTGGAATACTTTTTTGAGGCGTCAGTCAGACGGGAAGATGGTCACTCACTACCCCATGAGTCTGGCTCTATGTCCCATACCATTTAGATGTCTAGGGAAGCAAATGTGAGGTCCAGCACGCTGGCATTTCTCAGGCGTGCTCGGATAAAAGTTGGTGTTCCTGAGTTGAGGCAAGCCGCCTCGGTGGGTCCGAGGCGAGAGCGCCGGCCTACGGATCCCCAGGTGGCGGGTTCGAATCCCGACCGAGGTGCCCGCAATATGACGGAGGCTTATTGCGGAGAAGGCGCCGTGTAACCGAGCTTTCGGTTGCACGTCAAAAGATCCCCAGGTGGTCCAAATTAATCCTCAGTCCTCCGCTGGGGCGTGCCAGATGCCCGTCGTAGGTTTGGCACGTAAAACCCCCAAATTTGACCTGAGTTGAGGCATTTGAGGTCGAGGTCTCTCATAATGTCTAACAGTGCTGTGCCTCGTGATGTGGTCACATCGCTACCCCAACCGAGGTGATTAGTGTTAAAATCTCCACACCGTACTAAGGAACCTGGACAGCGTGCGCGAATTAGCCGTATTGACTCAGCATCCGGTACGCTGACCTGGGCGAACATAACTGGATAGGATTGTAACGTCTCGCACAGACAACCGTGAAGTAACGGCGACGTGTTCGTCAATTACAGTGTTAAGGTTTTCGTGGTTGGCCCCTATTTGCGAGATTTATCGAAAGTTATGCCCGTGACCTTTCGTGTGGATGGGGTGTTTTGCTGTGATACTCGACGTACGGTGAAAGCCTGCCTGTACCGTATCCGTTTGAGTTTCTCCCAGGCGCTGGCGGAGTTCTGGTAGGTGCGGTTGAAGGCTGTTGGTGTTCCACTGAATCATCGTGGGGAATTGTGCCGGTCGTGTCGTAGGACGTCATTTGGTTTTGCCGGTTCTACCTATAATGGGGATCTTGCATTTCTGTGGGCCTTTACAGTACTTAGCCATGTGGCCATGCTTCTGAAAACGGAAGCGTTGCATGACAATTTCAAACTACCATTGTACGGGGTTGGCTCGTAAAACCGAGAAACACATTTGTTGGCATTGGTTTGTCGAGTCGAAATATGAGGATCACACTCTCGTAGGGCTTGACTGTTATTGCTTCATCGTCATTTCCAATGTATACGATGCTTGTAGGCCGATTGTTGTAACTCCGGAGGCTTTCAAGTACTTCAGCAGCTGCTCGTCTTTGTATTATTCTAGCAATGGCACTCTTGTTATTTTGCCGACGATTATGAAGTTAGATGCGGGCACATTACTTGTACATGGAATTAAAGCGAATGCTGTGATGGCGAGGAGTTTGTTGGCCGATATTAGAAACGACAAGTTCCCCACTAGGCTACCATCTTTTGTAATATGGTGGGATGTAACTTTTCTTGCGCTACGGCGACTATCTGCGTGGGCAAGTTGTTAAGGTTGGCAACCCAAAGGATGCCATTGGATTGATAGTCTTGAACATGATTGGGATTCCTGTTGCTCAATCTTTTCAGTGTAAGTAAAATTGGATCGTCGTCCTCGTTGCTTTGCATGTCGTTTTAAAACTCGCTTATGTCTCGGTGTCTTTTTGCGTACGTAGTCTTCCGGTCAGGGATGTTCGGGGAGACGGAGCAATTGTTCAGGTCAGGGTTCCACATTTCCTTCGAAAGCAGTCCAAACGCGGTACTGACAGTCCGCCCGAAGGCGACAGGTGACCGCTGTTGATGCAATACACTGAGCAGTCCGAAATAGTTAAAGAACAATAATAATATCAGCAGCAACACAAAAATTGAAGACTTGACTTGTCATCTTCTTCTCCAAGTAATCAGAGCTTTCTGTTTCTTAAGGTCCCTGTATATGTGATGACCGGTGAGATCGGCATAAAATACAAGCACTTCTTTTA